AAGGTCATTGACCCCTCTTGTTATTTAAGTGTCAACTTCATTGTCTTCTCCATCAGAGTGATTTTCTCTTCCTATTGCCCCTAAAAAACATCCCCTGACCTTTCTGTCACATCAAGTTATCTTAATGTTCTGAAGAATTTTCACTGCTATCTGATATTTTTCCTATTTGTTTGTTTATTACATATTTTGCCCCCACTAGAGCATCGGCTTCCTAAGAGCAAGAACCTTCTCTCTTCTTTACTATTGTTAAACAGTTGGTTTAGAATAGTACCTGACATACTGGCTGGATGAATAAATGGACTTGACAGGCTCTTCTTTTGTCATTTCTTTTAATTTCACATATTTATTCTCTAGACTAGATCCTATAATGATTGCTACAAAATCATTCTAATGAAATCTATGAGTCTACATTATAACGGGCCACAGGTAAGAATCTCTTCTATGTCTTGTTTTAATTTCTGAAAAGAATGATGATTTTTAACTTTGATCTACTGGTTTGCTGATCTTTAAAAGTGACACTGCCTTCACCCTGTTGGATACATCAGAAAATCTGGGAATTATCCTTAATTCCTCTTTCTTCGTTAAGGCCCACGTTAAGTCTGTCACCAAGTTCTACTGAACATGTTTAATTCATGCATTTTCTTCTTTCCCATAGCTGCAACCCCAGTCCAATTTCCCATTAATTCTTGCCTATATTTCTGCAATAACCCCTTATTGGTTTTGCAAACTTCATTTTTCCACAATTTTTATCTAAACTATAATCAGAGAAATATTTCTAAAATGCAAATATAATGCCACTCCACTGCACCAACTCTTCAGTGCTTTCCCATCCATTAGGATAAAGTTCTAAGTCCTCAAAGTAAAGTATGAGACCCTACCTTTCTGGACACGTACACCAGCTGCTGCTCTTTCTTCAGCTTGAATGGTTGTGTTGGCTCTTTCTCATAGTGTGCTCATTATTAAATGGGAAGCTCATCTGATCTTTAGAGCACCACACGAGAAAGGCTAATGATGCTATCCCCTGTTTCACAGGTGGAAGAGCAAGGCCTATTGCATTGACATGTTTGACCAATAGCAGAATAGATCCTGATTTTCTCTTTCTTAATCAATCCATACATTTAGATGTTATCAAGTTCTATTGATGTCATTTCAATGTCCCCCAGAGTTAAGAACAGCTCTAGGAACCCAAGTCTCCTGATCCCTTCACCATCTTTAATTTCCATCTCACTATTACATGATGTTTTTTTTCCTCTCCCATGTATCCTATCCAGGACACCAAAAGGTCACTGTTCTGTGCTAACCAGGTCCTGGGTTGCTTGCAGATGCAGAAAATATTTCTGTGTCTATAGAGCTAGAAGACAGTGGGGAAAACTGGAGCAAAAGTTAAGTTTTCTGCAGGATTAAGGTTCTTACCCATGACTGATCATATTTCATTGACTATCTTGCCTTGTATCAGGCACTATCCTAAGGGGATGAAAGGGAAGAAACAATACTTTTTAGGTAAAATTGGTTGAGGTCTTTCAATGTTTCAGGCATCTGTGTTTGGACTTTTTCTGTACCTTATTCAATACTTATAATGATTCTGTGATGTACTATTATTATCCCCAGTTTATTGATGAGGGGTGTTGGATATAGGAAGGTTAAGAAATTTGCCCACAGTCTCCCAGAAAGTGGAAGAACTCAGGAAGAACCACTTCTCTGCAGTTTGTCTCTACAGTTTCTAATCAGGACACTCCAGCGCTTCCAATGGAAACAGAATACAATCCCTTTTTATCAGAGTTTTATGGTTGGTGTGGAAGGGAGATCCATAAATGCAAGACCATGTGATAAGTATTATGATCCATCCAACACATCTTTCTGGTGACTGTGATCGAGTGGCTATTTTGTAATGTGTTTTCATTTATACAGTATGGAGCAAGCAATATGAATGCAGAAGTTAGAGAATTTTGCTGACTGTGTTACCTTGGAAGAGTTATTTAACTTTTCATCACGTTTTCCTCATAAATAAAATATGGATACCAAATATCTATTTCAAAGTTTTACTGTTGGTGTTAAGTAGATTAACGTATATCAGATAGTCAGCACATAGTAAGCCATATGAAAACTTTCAGGACTTGTAGGAGTATTTTTTCAATATTTATTTATTTACTTATTTATTTATTTATGAGAAAGAGAGAGAGAGTGAGTGAGCAGGAGAGGGGCAGAGAGAGAGAAATCCCAAGCAGGCTCCGCACTGTCAGTGCAGAACCCAACGTGAAACTCGAACACATGAACCATAAGATCATGACCTGAGCCAAAATCAAGAGTCAGGTACTCAACCTACAGAGGAACCCAGGCACCCCATGACTTGTAGGAGTATTAATGAAAAATCTGTGCATTAGGTGAAGGATAACTATGAAAGAACAAACTGTTAACCTAGCATGAGGGAAAAGGGGTGTTCCTCACAGCTCATGAACTGGACTGAGAAGATATCTAAAAGTTATTTAGACTGAAAGATGTCCAATAACTTTATTCCTCCATTTCACTATTTAGCATCTAGATTTTTCTTTGAGAACACTTTTTCCTCAAAGTGTGTATGCTCCCTCCCATGAAGACCTATTTACTTCTGATATTCATCCTATTACCCCAACATGAGCTTCCCAGATACTGGAATGGACACTGCAGAAAAGAGAGATGGCATGAAAGCAGGCCTTTGAGAATGCCAGTGAGCCATTGGTTCAATCAAATATGGATCTTGTCAACCTCTTGACTTTCTAATCTGTGAACCAATACATCAGCTTCATTGTTAAAGCCCATTTGAGCTGAGTTTTCTGTTATTTACAATAGATCCCCTCTTAACTGCAGGGACTTCTAGACAGGAGGGCTGCATGTGCAAAGGCTCGCAGAGAGAAAGGAGAGATCATGATGGGTTTAGAAATATTACATTGAGAAATGAGGCCAGAAGGTGGGTCAGTGCCAGCCTTTCAAGGGCATTGACTTCCATTTTAATGAGTTTGGACTCTAGCCTGTAGGCAGTGGGGAGCAACAGTTTTTGAGCAGAGAAGTGACATGATCAGATTTGCATTTTAGAAATATGACTCTGGCTGTGAAGTTGAGTTTGGATAGGAGTAGGAAAGTCTAAAAGCAGAGAAAAGAGTTAAAAGATAACTACAATAGAATGAAATAAAGATGACAGTAGAAGGGATAGAGGGGTAAGGGTCTGGCATCATTTTCTTTCTAGATCCATCTTATTATTACATACTTAATTTATGGATTCCCCTTGGCTTTTAATTCTGGGTTCACAGATGCGCCCCCTACCCCACAGTCACAGCAGCAGACTGGCAGACAGGGGATTCTTGCCCTCCGACTATTCTGCAGACCTTTCAAAATCCAAGACATGAGGCTGAGGAGCCTTCCAACATTTAATATTCCCTCACTGTACTCATTCCTACATCATGGCTGTGCTCTTCAGCTGGACATTAACAAATGGCACCAAAACTCCATGATGATCACAGACCCCAGATGAGGAAGACATTTTAAATATCCTCTGAACTCAATTGAGTCCTCAGTTCTTTCCCTTTCCAAGCAGGAGATGCCTCAGCAGGGAGTACCAAAATACTGTCAAAAAATTCATGTCTATTGCCTCTTTTTCCCATATCAGAAAACCTCCAACTAGTTATCATGGAGTTAATTTTGCTTCCTGCTCTTCTGAGATCTTTTCAATAAAATAATGTTGGAATTGTATGGGAGCAGAGATACATAAACAGTTGGGAATTTGGTTTTTAAATATACACTTTAAAAAAAAAAAAACAAGTCTTCATGTCCAGTTCTCTGGCACTATGCTTTCATTTGCTGCATGCAATTTGGTGCAAGTTTGAATGGTCAATTAAACATCTGTTAATAGGACCAGGGAAGAGTTATAACATCACAGTTCCATGAGTACATACCATCTAGACTAGCTTTGCTAGTTTCCTGCTGATCTACAAAGCCTTGGCTAGAATCAGATGGGGGAACATCCAGGGATTTAGGCCAGGAAAACCCATTTTCAATCTTCTGTAGCCACCACCACCACCACTCCCATGCTTTACCATGGATAGACAGGAGAGTAATATAATTTTAAATTTCAAAATTATAAGAACTGGAAAAGACTTTAGAAATTATCTACTCTATACTTATTAGTTAATGAGTTCAGTTGCTTTGGCTGAGGCTAAAAATATCAGAAGCCGCATCCCAAAATGTGGAGCAAGAACCCATCACTGGGGACTTGCAGTAACGGAGGTGTCTCAGTCCCCCATCTGTAAGATGGAAGTGATTATAGTATATGTTTCTACAGGCTGTTTGAGGATTAAGGAAATTAATATATTTGAAGCACTTCAAATGCTCTGGCATATATTGAGTGCCAAATTAAGTGTTACCTATTATGACATGGCTATTTGGAGACTCAGATTTGCTGTGAAGTTACAGTGTGGATGGGATGGCTGGTTGAATGCTCAACTGCCAGAACAAAGGCAAGCTTGCTGCATGGGACAACAAGTATATAAGTCTGTCAGACAGGGGTGCCTGGGTGGCTCAGTCAGTGAGTGTCCAACTCCATGCAGCTCAGGTTGGTGGGACTGAGCCCCACATGGGGCTCTGTGCTGAGCGTGAAGCCAGCTTAATTAAGATTCTCTCTCTCTTTCTCTCTCTCTGTTTGTCTCTCTCTCTGCTCCTCTCCCCCAACTCCCCTTCCTTCCTTCCTCCCTTCCTTCCTTCCTTCCTCCCTTCCTTCCCCTTTGTCTCCCTCCATCATTCTTTCTTTCTTTCTTTCTTTCCCCCCCCCTCTCTCCCCCTTCCTTCCTTCCTTTATTTCTTTCTTCCCTTTTTTCAGACCAGTCTGAGTTGCAAGAGAGAAGGAAGCTTTCATTTCAATTGAAATATATTCTTACTTGGAACTATACATTTTAATTACTGAATTGAAGCAGTGTTTTGTGACTTACAGAGACAAGAGAAATCTCTTTGCATACTGAAGAATGACCAGAAAAAACATGAGTCTTGCAGAAGTTCCTGCCGGAACTAGAAGCATGAGAGCAGTTTTAAAGGGACCAAGGAGACAGAGTAAGTTTACTTTTTTGTGATTGTGAACTATGAGTTGTGCCCGTACAACATAATGGATACACAATTAGCAAATACTTACCAATGCTACTGCATGTCAGGCACGGCACAAGATATAGCAATGAACAAAGATAAATCTCTACTATCTTGGAAATTAGATTCTACAGGGGAAAATGGATGGAAAACCAATAAAGAATTGACTGGATAAATAATAGGTCTGGGATAGGGTAAGGGCTAGTAAGAAAACATGTGAAAAAAGGAATGAGGAGGGGGGTAACATGGCAGTGGTCCCTTAAGGAAGTTCTTGATTGCTTTTCTGATTGCTTCTATTTTTTCAGTGCATTTGGAAGTGACTTTGTTGGGATAGTGAGAATGAGACAGGGGGTGCTTGAATTTTAAAGGGAAGATATGAAATTGTCACCTGGAATTATGGGAGAGAAAACAGAATTGGAAATTGTAGGAAAATTGTCAGGTAGGTTTAAAGACCCTCCTGAGAGAGCTGGTAATGGTTTTAAGTGACATGGGTGAGCATTTGTGTATGTTTTTCTTCAGTTAAGTTCAAGTACTCTAGTGTAGGCACAGAGAAAGTGGAGAATTAAATTAATCAGGGAATCATGATGGAGGAAGAGAAAGGAAGGGATGTTAGCCTATTTGCAAGGAGTCATGGAATTGAAGTTGGGTATGGAGGGAGATGAGAACAAGAGAAGAGAGAGCCCTGGCGCTGATTGTTTATGGACGCTGTGGGGTTTATTAATGTTTGAGTCATGACACAAGAGTGAGTGAGCTGTACAAAGTATGAAGTGAAGATACTTAAAGTGAAGATTAGATTATGGGGATGCAAAAGTTCAGGAAATGTCTGGAGGACTGAGCAGCTGATGTTGAGAAGACAGTATCATAAAAGGAGGAGATCAAGAAACTTCCCACCAAGAGGCCAGAGTGATAAAAGGAGTGTTCCTGTGGATATTGAAGCTCACCAAGAATCATGACAAGAATAATACTAGAGAGTAATAATGAGCCAGGTGGTACATTTGGTAAGAAATGAGGAGTCACTAAGAGCTAGATGAAGAAGGAGGGTGGTACTGGTAGCATAGTCTAATTGAGTTGCTCCAAGCTGATAGTTTCAGTGAAAGAGACAATGATCTAAAAATGACTAGGAGGTACAAAGATGGCACCCTACCTCGGGTTCAGTGGTATAAGGATAAGAGAAAGATGTCCCTTAAATTATGCTGATTGACATAAACATGAAAGTCAGATAAGTTCAATTCATCCTGATCCATTTAATCAGCCTGGTTTAGGCTGATTATGGTGGTAAGGATGCTGCACAGGAAGGAGTGGAGGTCTTGCTTGGAGACTTTATTGCTCTGGGTAGCTCCATGGTCAAAAAGCGTGTGATGATTTAATCACATGAGGCTGAGCTGGCTAGAGTGGACCTTGTCACATCAGAAGCAAATAAGTTTATATAGATATATACATCTCAAGCTATTACAATGGATGCCTGGTATCTTAGAGTGAGGAAGGACGAAGGGTAGGTCAATGAGGTCAGCCATGGACACACGAGGGAGAAGGGTTTTACAAGTTGTAAGTTGGCAAACTTGCATTTTTACATTTTTGAAAACAGAAATACTAACGGTAAGCAGTTTGCTCAAAATCACAGCTATTTAATGAGCAAATCAGAGCCACTCTACCAGGAATACATGAAAACCCTATTTAGGTAGCTCGCCTCATCAAATAAATGTGATTTTGTACTTACTTTCAGAAGGTTAGTAATTTAGCTACTGAGTCCTGGCTTTGCCACCAGCTGTCTGTGTAACAATGGGCAATTTATTGGGCTTTGTGTCAGTTTGGGTTCCCTAAGAAGCAGACACTGAGATGGGGTTAGTTGTGCCAGAGATCTATTGGGGGCAGATGTCTGTGACGGAGAAAGTAATGAGGAGCCAAAGAAGGTGGGGGGAGGGGGGAGGGTGAAATACAAGGCTGACATGGGAAAGAAGAAAGGAAAGGAAGTGAAGGAAAAGAACATCGAGTTGCCGTTCAGTGGGAAGCAAAGATGCCTGCCAGGTGAGTCCTGAGCTGGACAGGAGCAGACAGCCCTAGGGCCCCTGCTGTGCTCCATCACTGATTGGGAACAACTCACAGAGATCACAGAGAGCAAGGCACTGGGGCATAAATTCCGCGTTGAGGGGACAGGGGGTGAGGAGTCAACAGTTCAGCAGCTGGAGGCTATCAGCCAACCACATTCCTTGCAGCCAACCCTCCTAGAGGGAGGCATGAGCAGCATACCTCCATGACCACCACAGATCTCGTCCCGTTTACAATCTAAAAACTTTTAAAATTGAGATGAAATTCACCTAACATATAATTAACCATTTTAAAGTGTATAATCTAGCGGCATTTGGTACATTCGCAATGTTGTGCAGCCATCACCTCTATCTGGTTCCAAAACATTTTCATCACCCACAAAGGAGACCCTGCACCTATTAAGCAGTCTCTCCTCATTTCTCCTTCCCCCTAGTCCCTGGCAACCACTAATGTACTTTCTGTCTTTATGGAGTTTCTCATTATGGGCATTTTATACAAATGGAATCATACAATATGTGATGTTTTGTATCCAGTTTATTTAGCATAATGTTTTTGAAGCATATATTAGTACTTTGTACATTTTTATGGCTGAATAATATTCCATTATATGGTTACACCACATTTTGTTTATCCATTTATTGATTGATGGAAATCTGGGTTATTTCAAAAAGCTATGTTGAGTAATGCTGCTATAGCCATTTGTGTACATAGATTTGTTTCAGTATTCATTTTCAAGTCTTTGGGGTATACATCTAGTAGTGAAATTCCTGGGTTATAAGGTAATTCTATGTTTAACTTTTAAGGAACCACCAGTATGCTTTCCACAGCTCCTAAGTCTCATTTCCATCACTTATGAAATGGGATTCACAGAAGACCCCACCTCCTAGGATTGTTGTAGAGAGTCAAGGAGAAAATGCTTGTGGGGCATTGAGCATAGCAACAGGCACATACAGAAATAAATGCTTCACAGTGATACTTGTTATTTGTAATGGGTACTGTGCATTTGCCCAGCATGCTGCCCTCCCCCCCAATATTATAGCTTCATGGATTTTTTTTCTAAACAGTGAAGATACGACATTAAGAATATTCTTTAGTCTTGGCACCTGGGTGGCTCAGTGGGTTAAGAGTCTGACTCTTGGTTTTGGCTCAGGTCATGATCTCACAGTTCATGAATTTGAACCCCACATTGGGCTCTGTATTGATAGTGCAGAGCCTGCTTGGGATTCTCTTTGTCTTCCTCTTCTGTCCCTCTCTTGCTACATGCTCTCTCTCTCTCGCGTGTGCTCTCTCTACCTCTCTCTCAAAAATAAGTATATTAGAAAGAAAAGATTACTCTCAAAGACAGATGACCCTATTTTGACCTGGGTGACTGCAGTTTGTGAAAGCAAAGAGCCCTCAGGATTAAAAGCATGATCATAGCTTGTGTCTGTGGGTTTCTACTGGGGATGAGTTTGTGGGACCTTCTCTCATTAGTGATCACACTTTGGAAATAATTCCTTCCCAGCAGGGCCATCCTTGAAATACCATTTTAGTTTGTTATGCTGGTCACTGCCTCTCCATTGCCACCAAATTTGGACAAACTCTCACAGACTCTCATTTTGACCCCTGTTTTTTTAAGGGGGCAGGGAAAGAAGATTTTAAAAAGTCAGTCATCACTGGGAAGGGAGAGAGAGAAAGGGAATAGAAGCCTCATTGTTCCACAAGTGACTTGGGGAGGGCAGGGGGATGGAGTCACTAACAGTGAGATTTCCTGGTGACTGGTGTGGTTTACTGAGGAATGTAGTCTGATTTCTTTGCAGGTATTGAAAATACTTTAAAATATACCAAAAGCATCTCACCTTGTGCCTGACATAGAGCCTTTGCCTCAGTCCCAGTAATTACTGATGCCATGACAATGTAAGTCAAGATCCCTCTGATGGACAGTTTTCCTTGCTTGTTTACTCATGGAGTTGTTTCCCAATCAATGTTTGGGATATAGAAGAAGTTCCATGAATAGTTTTTAAACAAATGTCCCCATTGGTGGCCGCCATTGCCTCTCCTTGGTGTCTTGCAGTTACCTGAAGTTTGTTTCAAGTAGTTATGAAGTACATGGGCTCTGGTATTGGACTTCGTGGGTTTGAATTCTGGCACTACTACTTGGGACTTGTGTGATTTGGGGCAGTTTACTCAGGGTACAAATGAAGATAAGATTAGCCACTCTCTTAAGAGATGTGGGGGAATACATGAGATATTTCCTGTGACATGCTTGAAAAATGGCACCTAAGTGAGATAACTAGTAGATGCTAGTTATGAGCATATTGCCTCTCTGGTCTTGCTGGCTTTTGTTATCTCTCCTAGTAGAAATTCATGATTCTTGAGAGCAGTGACTGCTTTTTATTTTTATTTGTCTTTTAAAAAATTTAAGTTTATTTATTTATTTTGAGAGAGAGAGAGAGAGAGAGAGCGCGTGTATGAGTGAGCAAGCAGGGGAGGGGCAGAGAAAGGGAGAGAGAGAATCCCAAGCAGGCTTTGTGCCGTCAGCACAGAGCTTGATGTGGGGCTTGAACTCATGAACTGTGAGACCATGCCAGGAACTGAAACCAAGAGTGGATGCTTAACTGACTGAGCCACTGAGGTGCCCTGCAGTGACTGGTTTTTAGATATATTTGGTACCTGCAATGTAAATACACACACACATGCAAATCCTATTTGACCAATAGATAGATGTGTGGATCTATTGCTAGAAATGGGTTGTAGAAAGTGGTGATGTATAAATCCTGATTTTGCATAAACCAAAAAGTTTTCAGTATAGAGATCAAAATCAGAAACATTTGGAAGAACAGCAGCAGTGTTTTATTGGAATATAATCTCCATGAGGGTAGGGTCAGGTTTTTCAGTACAAAGAATGATGCTGGGCATAGAGTAGGCATTTCATAAATTCTGATAGAATGGATGAATATAATTATCACTAAGAAATGCCAGAAATACTGCCTATGTTAATTTTAGTCTCACAAGAACATACAAGATATAATTGCCCCTGCATTTTATTAAGAACTGAATTTGGTTGCAAGTTGTTGAAATCTGATTGTAAATGATAAAAGTGTAATTTTAGCATCTCATCTAATCAGGAGTCCAGTGTCACTGGTTATAGTTGAGATGCTGGTTGTTCAGGACCAAGATACCTGCAATTCTGTCTGCTCTCCCTTGTGGCTCTATAGTGGCTACTGCAGCTCCAGCCATCACGTTCTTGTTATAAATGGGAAAGAAACAAGAACACTTTTCCTGCCTAGTGTAGCCCCATTTAAAGAGATTTCCTTGAAAATCTTGTCTTTAAGGAATTCTGTTTGCATCCCATTGACTACAACTATTTGCAAGCAAATGGAGTAAAGGGCTCATTCTTCTCCTTCTTTCTCTTTTTCTTCCTCTTGCTCTTCTGTCTCTTCTTCCTCTTCTTTTTCCTCCTTCTTTACCCTTTCATCATCTTTCTCCTCTTTCTTCTTACCTTGGGGCTTTGTTGCCCCCCAAAAAAACACCGTTCTGTTGTTAGGGAGGAAGGTGAGACCAATTATGTACTAAGTATTAGCAATCTCTGTTATGGTCCCCATGTTATAGGTGTAAGAAAGTGAAGCTCAGCCCTGTAGAGCTCCTTATTGTTTTTACTGTGGCTTTTGAGGATTTTATCACATTGTGCCATGACCTCATTGGAGGACCACAGGACAAAACCCTATTGGTAACGACTCTCTGAGCAGTCAACAGCTTGTAGATTGTTGTAGATTGTGCAAGCACTTATATGTTCTTCTTCACTCCTACTCAGCTAAGGAGCTCCAGGAAGTATAGGGGTCTGTCTTACAACCACAGAGGAATAGTCTACTCTAGCTTCATTTTTCTTTTTCACCATTTCCTTACTATACTACCTGCATTTCTTTGAGGCATATGAAACTATTTTGAGGGCAAAAAAGAGTGCAAATGATCAACAACATACATATTTATAAGTTTCCCAAGTCTAGAAATGCATAAAATGGAAGATCTGGATTTTATGTGATTAGCTTGTATTATGGAGAGTTAGAGATGAGTCGGGAATCCACCCCACCTTCCTGACATCAAAATCTATCCTTTTCTCTCTCTTGTCAGGATTCTCAACCTTGGCTACATGCTTGAATCTGCCAGGAGCTTTAAGAAAACCTCAATGCTCAGGTCATGCCCCAGACAAATTTTAAATCAGAATCTCTGGAGGATGAACCCAGGCATCAGTATTTTTAAACCTCCCGCAAATGATCTTAAGGCACATCCACATTGAGGACCACTACTCTTCAACTTCTCTGAAGAAAAATAAAGTGTAGAGTCCTCTAAAAAGAGGACTTTTAAAAAATTATTTTAATGCATCCCAGTGGTTTTCTCAACTGCTGCATTTTCTCCTAGTGAGACCACTAATAGGTAAAACAGATGAAAACAGAACTTCCTTCCCTGGAGATGGTATCTGGTAGTGGTGGTGGTGGTGGTGGTGGTGGTGGTGGAGTCAGGCTCTCCTTCTTTCTCACCCCCCAGCACACCCCATCTCTTGTGGATGGACCCATGGACACCCACAGGACAATGGTCAACTTACTCAAAACAATCCTGTAGAGTAAAAATTTTTTTAGCCATTCAACAGACAATCTGACCATCACAGTAACATGCAGGACTGGGGAAAGCCTCACTCCTGGGGGTGATTGTGGTGTCTTCCATTCCTATGTAGATTATCTTCAATTTCCATCTCTTTATCTGTGGTTGTTCAGAGGACAAGTTGCTGAAATAGCTCTAGAATCAACAATAGAAACAGACAAATATTGGTAAGGTTATGCTTTCTCTCAGCTCATGAGGTCTCATGTGTGTGTGTGTGTGTGTGTGTGTGTGTGTGTGTGTCTTTATCCCCCATACCTTCAGGCGCATAGCTGATCATGTAGACTCATAAAGCAGAGTGCTCAAACTCAAATGTCTATAGAGGCCAGGCAGAAAGCTGAGCTTCCATGTTTGGGTGGATCCTGTGGAGAATTGGAGTACATACATCCTTCCTAAAGGCATTTGCATTAAAAAAGAAATTTCTAAACTCGGTGTTGGCCAACAAACAGATAGTACATACACACGTATTTTCTAGACATAAGGAATTTTATTGAGGTACCTGGTGAGGTAGAATTTATTTTATTTTACCTAACTTTATATTTTAGTGATAGAGGCTGTGCATTGCTTTGTTAGGTGAACCCAGCTAGTCAGCTTAAAGCATCATTGTGTTACAAAAAAAAACATCAGGCTCAAAATGGAGTCACTTTTGCTAAGCCCCAGTAAGACTTAATACCCAACCTAATTGCAGTTTCAGTTTCTCCCAGGAGTGGAATTTTAAGCCAATCAGTCTGGAGTTTCCTGGTCAGCACTAATGAGGTAATCTGCCTGACAAGACCCCCTGCCTACTCCTAAGGGAAGATAGCCTTGCCTGAAATAATCCACTCTTTTAACTTCCTTGTCGTACCCTCCCTTTGCCTATAACACAGTCCATTTTGTACAACTCCTTGGAGCTCCCTTCCGTTTGCTACATGGTATACTGCCTGATTCATGAATCCTTGAATAAAGCCAATTAGATCTTTACATTTACTGAGAAAACTAAAAAAACTCAGTTGAGTTTCGCTAACAATTGTATTTCCAAGACAGAGTTACTGAGTTTTGCAATTTTAAGATGAGTGTGGATGCATTTAGTATGGGACCAGATATTTTCAGCCCTGTCCAAAGTTGCTGCTCCTAAGCCACTTGGAAAGTGGATTTGATTGCATAAGAGTAGGGACAGCCAAATTGCACAGGAACCAAGTTATCTGTAGAAGAACAAGATACAACTCAAATCTCTTTGATGGATTGAGATGGTTTCAACTGACTGGTAGGAAAGAACTCCAAGGTCCCAAAAGGGACCATATTTTCCAATTTCCAAGGGAGAAGAGGACAGATAAGTGACAGAGATCATCTGACACCTAGGTGTTGCCTGGCAATATCCTCCATTTCTCTCTTTCACTGACATTCTGAGGCAGAACTGAACCCTCTACTTGAGTAGACCCCTCTAAACTGGACACTGTGGTATAGGAGAGCCTTAAGACTTGCTAAAATAGGCACAGGGGTATTTTAACAGTTAACTGGAATTGTGATGATATATATGTACCTTGAAATTGGTGAAGCAGGACCAACTGATGTCAGAATAAAGTTTCTTAATGAAATGAAGACATGCATTGCAAATGCACTCCCTTTTGACAAACACTAGAACAGGTATAGCATGATTTGACGTAAGTCTTTATTATTGCAGAGCTTGGAGTTCAGGAGTGTGGAGGAGGGGATGAGGCTGGAGCAGATGGTGTGGTGGTATGCATGGACAGACTGTTAAAACAAATACTCAAATAACTAAAACTCGAGGTAGAATGAAAACTGTCTCAGAGGTACATTTGTGACGTGCCATGCCATGGAAGAGGAGTGCCCATGTGGTTCAACACAGATTCCCAGTATTTGAAATATCCTATAGGTTTTTTTTCCCCATAATGGAACAAACTGGCAGAGAGGCATGTGGAGTTAAGGTAGTAAAGAAGTGTGGAACAACCTGGTGGACAGTGCAGAGGGGAGTCAGCAAGGAGCGAGTGTCTAAGGAATAGATTAATAATACCACATGTTTTCTTTCCTGAGTTTACAGCCAACTGAGAAGTAGATGCTTTGTGACTGATTAAGCTGATTGGAGGTACAGTGTGGGTGTCTGTGCCTCAGCTGAGTTCCATAAGACTTGCTTTTACTGAGTTAAACAGAGCCACCAAGTTGAAGGTAAAGGTAGCAGCTT